GGGGGCACTCTGGGGGAAGGGAGGACGGAGGTCCAACTGTAGGGCCCAAATCTTCTTGGGCAGAGGGGTGTCTCAGAGCTGCCATGGGGTGGAGAGGGGGGAACCTAGAAGGAGACGTGGCAGATATCCCACTCAAAAGGGCAGGGCCTGGCGGTGGCCTGCGGGAGATATGGCAGGCTCCCCGGCGAGGCTCGCGGCCCGGAGCCGCCCTCCCCGGCCGGCACCCCCACGCGCACCCCCTTACCCCGTGATCCGTCCTTGCTCTGCTCGCCACGCTCTGCTCCCACTCTGCAGGATGCTCTTCCAAAGACAAACTTGGCCACTGTCCAGCTAGGCCCCGCCCCCTAGCCAATAAACACGCAGGATGCCTCCGGGGGCGTGGCCAAAGCGCATGGGGCGTGACTCAGGCGCCCCTCGCCACGTCCACAACGGGAAGCCAAGGGAGTAAGGGTGAGCAGCCGAGCGGGTGATGCTAGAGGGACGCCCCGCCAGGGGAGGACTACAACTCCCAGCATGCCCTGGAACCCCTGCGCTGCCACTCCCAGTAGTTCCAGCCCCCAAGGCTTATGGGAAATGTATTTCAGTCCCTTTCTTTCTGTCGTGATGATTTAAAAACGAAGAGGAAGGGCAAGAGAGAGCTGGTATCTCTCCAAGAAGGAACAACTTTCCACTTCTGCTTCACCAAGAAAGATTCGCGTCAGACTCTAGCCTGGCACTGTGATAGGTAGGTATTGTGTAAATTTTTCAGAAAGGAAAAAGACACACCTCTCATTTCTATTCAAAAGGGTCCTCAGAAGAGCTGACAGTATTCCTTTCCCCCCACCATCCCTCCCTTACCTCCCCACCTTGAAACCTACAAATGATTGAGAACACACAGATTTGGGCCCAAACTCATGTTATATGTGGACATGGAAAAGTGCCATATACATTAGGAAGGGAAACTGAGGCAGACCACAAAAGGAGGGGTCCAGAGAGAGGACATTGGGCCCAGGACTCCTCTGGAGGCTCAGAGATGCCAGGATTGGGTCTCACAGCATGAACGGGATGAGATTATATTAGTTTGTCGCAGCCAGAGTGGGGGACAGTCAGGCTGATACATTTATGTCCTGAGGGTCAGCATCCTGTGGCAGGCTGGGAGTGGACAGAAGGCTGTCATCGTCATCTCCACGGAGGGAAATCCAAGGGGCTGAGGAGAGAGGAAACGGTGTAGTCAGAATTGCTGAGAAGCCAGCAGCCAGTGGCTTATGCCTGTCATCCTAGCTACTCAGGAGGCTGAGATCTGAGGATCGTGGTTCAAAGCCAACCTGGGCAAGAAAGTCCCTGAGGGAAGGTGGTTCAGTGGTAGAGTGCTTGTCTTGCATGCATGAGGCCCTGGGTTTGATTCCTCAGCACCACATAAACAGTAAAAGCTGGAAGTGGCTTGATAGCACTAGCCTTGAACTGAACAGCTCAGGGACAGCACCCGGGCCCAGAATTCAAGACCCAAAACTGACCAAGAAAAAAAAAAAAAAGAATGTCATAAATTTGGGCTGGGAAGGTGGCTCAGTGGTAGAGCACTTTCCTTGCATGCATGAGGCCCTGGGTTCAATTCCTCAGCACCACATAAGCAAAAAGAAATAAAAGCCAGAAGTGGCACTGTGGCTCAAGTGGTAGAGCGCAAGCCTTGAGCTGAAGAGCTGAGGGACAGCACCCAGGCCCAGAGTTTAGGCCCCACGACCGGAGCCAAAAAGAAAAAAAAGAAAGTCCCTGAGACTCTTATCTCAGAAATGGAGATAAAGAAAGGAGCTTGCTTTGCCTGGTGCCAGTGGCTTACGCCTGTAATCCTAGCTATTCTGGAGGCTGAGATCTGAGGATCGCAGTTCAAATCCAGCCCGGGCAGGAAAGACC